CCTCCTCCTCCTCCTCCTCCTCCTCCTCCTCCTCTTCTCCACAAATCCCATTCCCTTCTAGCACTGATGATGTTACCTAGTTGGGTCATGAAACATCTGCAAGAAAGCAAGTAAGCTCAGAGAGCAGAAAGGACCCCTCAAACTTTCAAGTTTTTAATGAAGCCTCAAGCTCTTCTATCAAGGGCTTTAGGGACAAAAGCTTGCAAAATTACACATTTGAAAAAATGCCATGCAGTAAGAAGAATTCCTGACAGCAGTTACGTTGGAATAAAAAGGAACGGTATAACGCAGCACATTTATTATTAAAGCTCTTCACTTTGAAAATTACATATACAGTAATATTTCCGGTTTACATTGTTTTGGGGACTAGCTATTCCAGTGATGGCGAACCTTTTAGAGACCGAGTGCTCAAACTGCAACCCAAAACCCACTTATTTATCGCTGGGTGCCAGGTGGGCGTGGCTGTGTTCATGGTAGACTGGGTGGGTGTGGCCAAGATGGGCGTGGTCACCTCGATGTTGCTCGTGGGGAGGGATGCCTGTGAGGGCCGGGCAGGGTTGGGGGGAGATCCAGGGGGTCTCTGGAAGATGGGGCAGTGGGCAGGAGGCAGGAGGCTCTTCCTGCGGGGTGAGGCGAGGCAAGACGAGGCAGGGCGGGGGTGCCATTGTCGCAGGGCAAGGCGGGGCAGGGGCCAGGGTGGCTGCTGCCTGACACCATCGGCCTCTGCACAGAGGCCAGCGAGCGCATGGGGGCCGACAGTGTCAGTCAGCAGCCACAGCCTGCTGGCCCCACTCTGGGGCTCTGCAATCCACTTCCAGCAGTTCAGAGAAGCTGCCTCTGAGCTGGCTGGCCAGCCAACAGCTAAGGAGGCAATGCAGTGGATCGTGCCTGGGAAAAGGAGAGCATGCGAGGCCAGGAGAGATGGGATGGGGGGGGGGAGGGAAACCAGCCATGCTGGGATGCATCCGGCCATGTGGGACCTCGGCGAGTTAGCGGGCGGCTGGTTGAAGAGGGACGGTTGCCATCTCTGGGACATGGTACGCGTGCCCACAGAGAGGGCTCTGAGTGCCGCCTCTGGCACACGTGCCATAGGTTTGCCACCACTGAGCTATTCTGTTTGGCAAACTCCGTCAATTTTGTATGTTCCTATTGAGGCCACATACATATCCTTTATGGCTTTTTTAAAAAAATGAATATACGGTGATAGTGGTTCTTCACAACTGGTCTTCCGTCACAGTTTCCTGGGCTTCTGGGCTTCCTTGCTCATCCCTGAAGACATTTTCCAGAGCAATCTTGTAAGATGTTTTGGGCCGCTCCTTTTGTCTCTGCTTCCTCCCGACTAAGAAATAAAGGAGTGGGTTAATGCTGCTGTTAAGAGCGGCACATCCCATCCCGATGGTCATGAGCAGGAGATTATAGGAATCAAAATAGTCAACAACACAAAAGACATTCATTGGGAGAGAAAACAGGAGGAAGCAAAGGAGAGCCAGCAAGATGGTGGTGAGCAGCCTCCTTTGATTGCGTTGCCGTTTAGATCTCCTCATGTGAATCCAGAGGGTCACGGTGGACACAATCATGAGAGGCGTACAAAGTAAACCATTTACAGCAAGCTGGTAAAGGAAAGGGGAACGTTTAAAGTTCCAGCTCCAGTGCAGAATGAAGTGCGCCACAGAGAGCAGGAAGGAGAGGATCCAGATGAAGCCACAAACCAGGGTGGGCAAATACGGCAGACGATGATAGCGATGCCAGATTGGCAAAAAGACAGCCACACATCTATCCAGGCTGATGGCGGTGAGGAGAAACTGGCTGGCAGAATAGGCGAAGGAAAAGAACTCGAAAAACACCAAGAAAAGGACAAACAGACGATCGAATTCTTTCTGCAGAGTTAGAACCGTCACGAATATAATGGCAATAACAAGGGAGGCGAGGACCCCGAAATCAGCGATGGAAAGGTTCAGGATGTAAGTGGTGAAAGAATTCCTCTTAATGGAGTAGACCAGGAGATAAATTGTCACCCCATTTCCCACCAGGCCTAGACTGCAGATCATGGCGATGAAGATATTGATAATGTTTCGTGTTAAATCATCACCTGTCGTTCCAAAATATTTAGCCCAGCCCTCGTACCTGTTAACAGAAAGAGACCAGAAGAGAATCAGTCCCTGTCTCAACTCCTGAACTCAACTACTCAAGCAGGCAACTCATTGAATAGGTTTTTGTGTTAAACTGTCATCCAATGATTGATCATATGAAGAAAATTTCTGACATTTTTTTTTGTTGTTAGTTGCGAAGTCGTGTCCTACCCATCGCGACCCCATAGACAACGTTCGTTCAGGCCTTCCTGTCCTCTACCATCTTCTGGAGTCCATTTAAGCTCACGCCTACTGCTTCAGTGACTCCATCCAGCCACCTCATTATCTGTCGTCCCCTTCTTCTATTGCCCTCCATCTTTCCCAGCATTAGGCTCTTCTCCAGTGAGTCCTTCCTTCTCATTAGGTGGCCAAAGTATTTGAGTTTCAACTTCAGGATCTGGCCTTCTAAAGAGCAGTCAGGGTTGATCTCCTCTAGGACTGACCGGTTTGATCGCCTTGCAGAAATATCTAAAATTTTAGATATTTAGATAACCCCAATTTTAGTAGTTTGGAAAGGAGGGTTGACCATTTCAGAATCACTTGCAGAGGTTTTAAGAATATTCCTAGTAATTTCATCCTCCTCAGATATCCAGATAACAAAAAAGAGACCAAGAGACAATCTGTCCATCTAACAAAAGTGTATATACATGCAGACAGAAACACACGTAGATACCCATACATTTTGTGTACTTACACAATCAACACATGCCTGAATTCGGACAGTTGCTGCAGTTAGTAGTGACCCAAACTTCCCACCCCAAAATCCTCAAAATGTATTTCGATAGAACTCCTTCTGTTTCCCATTATTAGCCATCCTGGTGGAGGGCAGAGTAGAGTTATCAGGTATCTGAACCGACAAAGGACAACACAAAGAATTGGAAAGAAGAATGCAAGGGGTATATGGGGAGGACAATTAGTTTAATACCTGCATTTATATTCTTTGGAGACGAAGGGATCCCAAGTGTGTGTAGGGGCACATAATGGGAAACGCACACCGAGAGGAATTGTGCTAGTGTTAGCAGTTAGTACAGAATAGAGAATAATCAATTTGGAAGGGATTTTGAGGTCTTCTAGTCCAACCTCCTAACCCTATATGTATTTCAGACAAGTGGCTGTCCAGTCTCTTCTTAAAAGCCTCCAGTGATGGAGCACCCACAACTGGTTAATTGTTCTCACTGTTAGGAAATTTCTCCTTAGTTCTAGGTTGCTTCTCTCCTTGGTTAGTTTCCATCCATTGTTTTTAGTTTTGTCTTCTGGTACTTTAAAAAATAGGTTGACCCCCTTTTCTTTGTGGCAGCCCCTCAAATATTGGAACACTGCTATCATGTCGCCCCTAGTCCTTCTTTTATCTAGACTACCCATACCCAATTCCTGCAATTGTTCTTCATATGTTGTAGTCCCCAGGTCCTTAATCATCTTAGTTGTTCTCTGCTCTCTTTTCAAAGTCTCAACTTCTTTTTTATCATGTGGTGACCAAAACTGGATGCTGTAGTCTAGATGTGGTTTTACTAAGTGTTTATAAAGCAGTACTAATACTTCATGTGATCTTGATTCTGTTCCTCTGTTAATGCAGCCCAGGATTGTGTTGGCTTTTTTGGCTGCTGCTGCACACTGCTGGCTCATATTTAAGTGATTGTTCACTAGGTGTCCAAGATCCCTCTCACAGGGTAAGATCTCGCAAAGTATTAATACAACTTTACAATGCCTTGGTAAGGCCACACTTGGAATCCTGCATCCAGTTTTGGTCACCACGATGTAAAAAAGATGCTGAGACTCTAGAAAGAGTACAGAGAAGAGCAACAAAGATGATTAGGGGACTGGAGGCTAAAACATACAGTATAAGGAACAGTTGCTGGAATTGGGTATGTCTAGTTTAACAAAGAGAAGGATGAGGGGGGATATGATAGCAGCCTTCCAATATCTCAGGGGCTGCCCCAAAGAAATGGGAGTCAAGCTATTCTCCAAAGCACCGGAAGGCAGGACAAGAAGCAACGGATGGAAACTAATCAAGGAGAGAAGCAACCTGGAACCAAGGAGAAACTTCCTGAAGTGTGAGAACAATTAACCTGCCTGTGGAACAACCTGCCTCCAGAAGCGGTGAATGCTCCAACACTGGAAGTTTTTAAGAAGAGACTGGACAGCCATCTGTCCAAAATGGTGTAGGGTTTCCTGCCTGAGCAGGGGGTTGGACTCGATGACCTCCAAGATCCCTTCCAATTTTTATTATTATTATTATTATTATTATTATTATTATTATTATTATTATTATTATTATTATTATTATTATTATTATTATTAATATTATCTATACTTGTACATTTGTTTTTTTCCTGCCTAAGTGTAAAACTTTACTTTTCTCTACATTAAATTTCATTTTGTTGGATAGGGTCCAGTGTTCAAGTCTGTCACGATTCATTTGGATCGTGAATCTATCTTGTGGGGTGTTGGCTATTTCTGAATCGACCAACATCCCTCCTTTACAAAGGGCTCCCATTTTAGCAGCCACAATGGACACAGCAGGGGAGATAAGAGATAAGATAAGATAACCTTTATTGACATTTTTTTTTACTGTGGGCACAACGGCACACATAAAAAATGAAATTTAGATGCCCGCTCTCAAAGTAAAACACATACATGACACACACCTAAACATTTTTTTCCTTTTAGAATGTTATGAAATAATTGGAAGATTAACTCCATTCTTCAAAGAAAATATTTTGTACCATAATATACTTACTTATCTTGGTGTTCAGATTCAATATTATAGATGTCACCACTTCCACCATAGTCCTCATCATCTGTGGAAGAAATTATAGTTAAGTCAAGATTATGATCCATAAAAGCAGGCAGCAAAAATCCTAATGTGTTTTAGAAAATTAGAATTTTAGGAAATTATTCCATACAGATTTGTGTCTTTTTGAAGGCAGTCTATATATACATAAATTAATCTTATCTGTTGGGTGAGGCACCCGGTCTACCAAATATAAATCTGTCTGTTCTGCATTTCGCTCCAATTTAGGAGCATGTTTTGCAGGCAGTCATCACATACTGTGAACACTATAAATTCAAAATTTGTGGCTGGCAAAGAGTTAGTGGGAGACTAGTATAGCTATTTCAGGCTCATTAGCCCTCATCAGCTAGTCACACCCTTCAGGGATTCTAACGTGGGCAGCTTGCATGTTAGGCAGCTGTATTACCCTTTTGAGCCACAGGTTCCCCCTTATTCCTGTCAGCAGAAACCAGGGAGGATATATATCTTATCTGTTGGGTGAGGCACCCGGTCTACCAAATATAAATCAGTCTGTTCCGCATTTCGCTCCAATCTAGGAGCATGTTTTGCAGGCAGTCGTCACATACTGTGAACACTATAAATTCGAATCCCTGAAGGGTGTGACTAGCTGATGAGGGCTAATGAGCCTGAAATAGCTATACTAGTCTCCCACTAACTCTTTGCCAGCCACAAATTTTGAACATAAATTAATCCCCCCAAAATTGCTCAGATAATCATTAGCCAACACTCAGTCATTACTTCCTCTCTAAGCTGCCCCAGAATTATTTAACCTGATAATTCAAAAATGTTCATTATGAAAAGGAAACTATTTTTCCCATCCTTCTTTTTTCCTTTATTTTCGGAAATGCTTCTGTGCCTCTTGAATAACATAGAACAGGGCTTTTCAACCAGTGGTATGGGTACCACCTGTGGTACATTGGCACCTGGCAGGTGGTACGTGACCATCCTAGAAAAGTGGTAGCAGGGGAGGGGAATGAGCTGAACAGGTGGCAGCACCGCACAAGCCTGAGCGAGAGACGGCTGGAGCTGCAGGGCTGTCAGGGCTCAGTGGAAGCGCCAGAATCAGCGCCAGGCTCCAGCTGGAGTTCGGTGCTGATCCTGGTGCTTCTGCTGAACCCTGAAGAAGCACCAATCAGCTAGAATGTTGCCTTATCTCCAGGGTCTTGTGATTTACATTCAGATGCGTGGCAACTGATTCATATTTATGACGGTCACAGTGTCCCAGGGTCATGTGAAGTGACCAAAACCTGATGCAACCACCCAGCAGACGGGGGGGAATAAAAACCAAACAGCCCCCCACCCCACCCCCACTGCCAATCCTCAACAGAAATGCTCACAACAATGGAAACCTCGGACAGGAGGAAGAGCGCCGCCGGGTGGGCAGGCAGGTGTCTTGCTTGGCTGTGGCTTGGGGGGCACTTTTTTCAGTGCCATTGTAACTTCGAACAGTCAACTAAGTGAACTGTTGTAAGTCGAGGACTACCTGTAGTTCATCACTTTTTTCCTTTTTTTTTTTTGGTCATCAAGTTTTTGACACCTTGCTAGGCGACTGGTGGTACTCGGATGTTGCCATATCCTAAAAGTGGTACAATGGGTGAAAAGGTTGAAAAGCCCTGACACAGAGGGTGACTTGTGTCTTTCTGAGATGATGTTGCCTGCAGGATGTGGCAGGTACATATTCTTAAATTCTCCATAAGACGTACTTTATGAATAATTCCCTCAGAAGCCACTTTATGAATGCATCCATTTAATGTTTTTCAAATGCTGATGCCCCCCTCCCAACCCCAGGAAGTGGGGGAACAATGGTCTGGTAGAAGAGTTTAAACTTTGGAATAAGGTGATGAGGTATTATGAACACTTGAGGTTTTGATTCATCAGTAGTACTCACAAAGGAAAGTGAGATGGTGTAGTTTACGTACTGTTCCTACCTTCGAGGGACAGAAATTTATCACTCATTCTGCAAAACTTGTTCTTTGTCCGTTTGGATAAATTCAGATCAGTGGTTAAGGAGGACAATCCGGCACACTGCAATTCAAGGAGAAATACACGGAATAAACTCAACCGTGCTTCTGATTGTCAAAAATAGCATAAGGAATTGTGTTATTGGGAAATTCAGTCATTGTTGGTTTGCTAGCCATACAAAACCAGTGTAGCGGGATAACAGAATAATAGAGTTGGAATGGACTTTAGAGGTTTTGTAGTCCAACCCCCTGCTCAGGCAGGAAACCCTATATCATTTCAGACAATGGCTGTCCAGTCTCTTGAAAACTTCCAGGGTTGGAGCATTCACCATTTCTGGAGGCAGGTTGTTCCACTGGTTAATTGTTCTCACTGTCAGGAAATTCCTCCTTAGTTCTAGGTTGCTTCTCTCCTTGATGAGTTTCCATCCATTGCTTCTTGTCCTGCCTTCAGGTACTCTGGAGAATAGCTTGACTCCCTCTTCTTTGGGGCAGCCCCTGAGATATTGGAACACTGCTATCATGTCNATCTATCTATCTATCTATCTATCTATCTATCTATCTATCTATCTATCTATCTATCTATCTATCTATCTATCTATCTATCCTGTCTGCCTGCCTACCTGCCTGCCTGCCTGTCTGTCTGTCTATCTTGACTTCCTCTTCTTTGGGGCAGCCCCTGAGATATTGGAACACTGCTATCATGTCACCCCTCGTCCTTCTCTTCATTAAACTAGACATACCCAATTCCAGCAACCGTTCCTTATATGCTTTAGCCTCCAGTCCCCTAATCATCTGTGTTGCTCTTCTCTGCACTCTTTCTAGACTCTCAACATCATTTTTACATTGTGGCGACCAAAACTGCATACAGTATTCCAAGTATGGCCTTACCAAGGCATTGTAAAGTGATGTTAAGACTTCACGTGATCTTGATTCTATCCCTCTGTGCAGAATAGCAAAAGCAGAATTGTGGGTTTCTCCAGATTAGACTTGATAAGGGCTGTGGGACACTTGGTCAAGCCTGAGCCCCCATTAAAGAGGATTGGCCCTCTGCTTATCATTTAGAGGTACAAGTTGTAAGTGCTCTAAGGCCCTCTATAGAGGATACATCAGAAACCTCCACACAGTCTCCAAACAACTCAGTTCCTGAGAGTCATCCTGAACTAGCAGAAAGTTATTTTCCTTTAACAGATACCTTGAAGAAAATTCTTTGCTAAGGGCATACCTGGCAATCACATACAGTATAAGAATTCTTGGTGACAATCAAGAGATCTCTTTGAGAATCCAAGGAGGTCCAGAAAGTTAGATTACTTTGATGAATCCACTTGGGACTGTATTTGATGTAGCTGTGTGGGAAAAGCAGAATTTATTCAGCAAAGGGAACAAATTTTCACATTAAAGAAAAGAGGAACTGACTTTACAAATTCTATGGAAAGGATATGTTGAAAAACTGAATCATAACTTGGAAGGAAAAAACAAGAAATATCAAATTGAAAATCAGTCTATGAAGTAATCAGAATATATTTAGAGTCCAAGCCCAAACAGGATTAAAAGACCAGCTTTCAAATGCAATAACTATTAAAAATTCTGTCAGCTGTAGCTCTTGAAAAAAAATATTTAAGGGCTTTAACCAACTTGATGAGTTTTCCATTGTTCTTCAAAGATGTCGTGTCTTGTCATTGATTGGCAAGATTAATATCAGTGAGGTAGTTCAAACAACATGCCCCAACTATGAATTCTAATACTAATATTAGCATACTAACACTAAACACGAATACTAATCTTTATCGTGAAATTTCCCTTTTCCCATCAAAGCACCAGCAAGACAATACAATAACTAAGAAAAGACATTTTAAAAAGTGAGAGAAAATCTTTTAAAAGGTAGCAGCTAACAACTAAGAGCATGAGAATAGAATTCATAATATATATTGCTCAAAAAAATAAAGGGAACGCAGTTCCATGGTAAAATGTTCCCTTTATTTTTGTGAGCATTATATATGTATATCTATTAAGATTTATTGGAATTAGAGATCAGAAGATTGGTGTCACACTATCCTGGAAAAAAAAATTGCTGTTAAATTGAGTTCTGTTATTTGCCAGAGGTTCTTACAGGATTTGCTGATCCCATCCTGATGGACCCCAAGTCCTATCCTGAATTCCAGGATACGTTGTAAGTAACAATTACCACAACAGAAATTTGGCTTTTACTACTGACATACCTGGTGAGGATAGGAAGAATCTCCAGAGGAGACCAGCAGATCTTGTTCAGAATCTAAGGATAACATTCCCCTTGGTCTCTACTTTATGTATTAGTTCCTTCTTCAGCAAAAGGAGAATTGAGCTGAAGCAATCTGTAGACTTTCTCAGAAAAAGAAAAAGAACTTGTGTAATATTGAGTCTCTGACTTTGGCAGCTTAAAGTGGAATTGCACCCAAGATGCAAAGCAAGCGATTAAAGATAACCAGGGCTTTTTTTTGTCATAGAACGCCCAGAATGGAGTTCCGGCACCTTTTTTGGATGGAACCTTGTAGGGTAGGCAAGGCGGGTTATATGACGTGTGTGAGTTCCGGCACCTTTTTTTTTTTTTTTTTTTAACAAAAAAAGCACTGAAAATAGCCATTAGGAGTTTTAAGATCATGGGACTGAGATTTGGTTTACATGGTTATTTATGGTACAAGAAATGAAAAATGAGTCTAGTGTTTATGAATCCTCTTGTTAGACATGACATACTTAGAGTGTCAACGCTGCTAACATCAGATGTTTTTGCTTTGACAACATATGGAGATGCAACCATTTTCCTTCTTATGTTTTACTCTTAGAGTTAGAGTTAGAATTAGATGATACTGGGGGGAGAAGGAGGAGGAATGTGCATGGGAGTTTAGCTAGACATAACAACATTGAACCTAGTGTGTGAACCAAGGTTATTGAAATAAGAGATGATAAGAATTGGCGGGCTGGAGAACTGGAGGGATAGCCTGCATTTCAAACTAATTGGAGAATATGATTTATGACTGTTAATTAGAGGAGGGAATTGTGTTTTGATACTAGGTGGTCAGAGGAGGGGAATTCAGATTTTGGCTTTGACTATGTAAGTGCTGATGCTATGCTACTCGAATAAAGATTCTTTAAGGTAAACAATGCCTCGAAGTTCTTTGAAGAGTTTCATTTGTCGGAAACATGACATAGAGTTTGGAATAGTTATGAAACAAGGTTATTTCCTAAATTGCCCTTAGAGGTTTTACCACAAGAAGCCCTTTTGTAGAAGGGAGACCATGGATGGCATAAGCTGATAACTTAACAAATCCTTTTGAATGACATCGATTTTAGACTCAAAATAAGAGACGACTTAGAAAAAGAAGGTTCTCAACTTAACAACAGTTTCTTTAACGACCATTCAAAGGTGCAACACCACTGGAAAATGTGACTTAGGGCCGTTTTTCACACTTACGACCATTGCAGTAATCCTCAGGGTCACGTGATCAAAATTCAGAGACTCGGCAACTGACTCATCTTTTTTGACAGTGCCAGTCTCTCTGGGTCATGTGACAAGCAAAATCAATGGGGAAGTCAGATTCACTTCATAATTGCGTAACTTAATAGCCACACTGATTCACTTAACAACGGTGGGAAGAAAAGTCGTAAAATGGAGCAAAACTCACTTAACAAATGTTTTCATTTAGCAACAAAATTGTGGTCGTAAATGGAAGATTACCTGTGCTTGTCACTGGTTTACATATATGAGCTACCTGAAAGCTACCTGTAAAGTGTTTTTTTTAAAACAAGTATATTTATAGGTTAAAAAATAATAGTGCCGATTGTACCAATTTTCATCTTCAAAATTACATTGCAATAACAATTTATAAACTTTTGCAATAGGAGCCTCATCATTGGCACATAATTGTTCCATTTCTTGATCTGTACATTTTTTAAAATCCAATTTAAATGTTTCAAAATGTTTAAACATTTAAAATCAACATATGCCATTATTTCATCCATGTGGTTATTTTTTATTTTTATTTTTTGGTTATCATCTCCCTTCTAAAAAGGCTCCTTGTGGTGACACCTGTAAGGACAATTTAGGAAATAGCCTTATTTTATATCTATTCCAAACTCTATTCATTTCTTATACCATAAATAGCTGTGTGAAATGAATCTCAGTTCGTGACCTTAAAACTCCTATCGCCTTATGATAGTATCATATCTTTAACCACTTCCTTTGCATCTTGTGTGCAATCACATTTTAAGTTGCGAAACTCAGATACGCGTATGACATAAGTTCTTTTTTTGCTTTCTGGGAAAATCTGCAGGTTCTATGTGTGTCTGCGTGTCTTCTATTTTAATAAAAGTATGACTTCTGCTTTCAGTCATGGCTGCTTCATATCTATACCCTGTTATTATCATGCTTGCTGAAATACATAGTTGTATTTGGCTGCAGCATACATCTGCAGCCTGAAAATCTAAAGCCAAACTAGAATAAAATAGAGCTGGAAGAGACCTTAGAGGTCTTCTAATCCAGCCCACTGCTCAAGCAGGAGAACCTATACCATCTCAGACAAGTGACTGTCTAGCCCAGGGGTAGGAAAACCTTGGCTCTTTTATGACTCGTGGACTTCAACTCCCAGAATTCCTGAGCCAGCCATGCTGAGGGAAAAGGGAGAGGTTTCCAAGCTGAGCCATGCTGGCTCAGGAATTCAGGTCCACAAGTCATAAAAGAGCCAAGGTTGCCTACCCCTGATCTAGCCTCTTCTTAAAAGTGAGAAGGGGGGATTTTTGCCCCACCCTCCTACAGATGGAAGCAATGAATTAAACTTTTCGGGGGAACAGAAATATACTGAAATGAGCTGATGCCATGGCGAGATGGGTGGAAGAAACTGGAGCTCCAGCTTCTTAGCCCGATTTTGTTCTGTCTGGCGACAAATATAGTAAATAAGGACATCTAGTGGTGAAAGGTGATATTACAACAATACCAAAATATCAAAAGAACTTGAGATGCCTATGACCTTGAAACAACAGCTGGTGTAAACAAAAAGCTTTACATGACTCTATGTTAGAAAAGATTCTCTACAATCATATTTTTTTACTCTGGACATAACTACAACAGAAACTATTTGGAAACAGAGGGCTTTTTACATCTTTAAACTAACTGGAACATTTGGATTAGCTTAAAGTAGTTGTCTCATTTTACAGCTGAATTATAGTCTAAGGCAATTGGCTTTTTTTTAACCTTGCTTTTCTTCTTGTAGATTTACAAAACTCACTCAATTGAAAAATGAGAGCACCAAATCTTACTAAAATTATGAAAAAAAAAAAACCTCTTCTGCACCCTCTGTTGGAACACCTAGTTCAGCAAGTCAGGGATCTATTGAGAAAATGTTGCAGTGAGAAAGAATAAATACTGCTCAAACAGAGATGCAAACCACATTATGGTTAATTCAAGAATCAATACAAAAAAATCATGAAGAGACAAAAAGCAGATTTGATAAGTTAGAGGGACAAATGTTGGATATAAAGGCACAATTTGATGCCCATCAACAAATGCTTACTAAAAATGAACAAAGAATTCAGAAAATGGAAAATAAATCGGAAGACACTGATCAAAAAATAGAGGCATTAACGCAAGAAAATGAAAAAAATAGAACTAGCAAATCAAAGCTTAGAAGGAGCAGTTGCAGCCTTAGAAATGGAAAAAGCTGTACACTATCTAAGATTCCAAAATATACCTGAAGATAAAGAAGAAGATATAGCGGAAATGATTATTAATTTACTGGTGGAGGCCTTAAAAACAGATAGAGCGGAGATACAAATGGAAATAGATGAAATATTTCGAATGAATTCAAGCTAGGCAAGGAAATACAAATTATCCAGAGAAGTCCATGTAAGATTTATAAAGAAAACAATAAGAGATGAGATACTGAGAAGAGTTAGAGATGAACCATTACAATATAAAAATAAAGAAATTGTGTTAAAGCAGACCCCTAAGAGAATGAGAGACACTCGAAGACAATATGACTTTTTGACTACAAAGTTAATTGCAAAAGGTATAAACTTTAGATGGTTAGTGCCAGAAGGGATTTTAATCAACTGGAACTATACAAGATATTGACTGGACTGAGTTTGGAAGGCAGAAGACTCTGATGAAAGAAATCAAGCATTCCTAAACAAAAGAATACAACATCAACAAGAGAGAAAAGACAAGAAACAGACAGAACTAACAGTAGAGGGAAAAACTTTACAAATAGAAGAAGAGAAAGAGAAGCCTGATCAAGAGAGAGAGGGAATGGCAAGGGAGCAGAGAACTACGAGATCAACAAAACCTAAATGGAGAAAGAAAGATTTTTTTTTCAGTAAACATAAATGGACTGAATTCCCCATCAAAAAGAAATAAAATCTTCAAAAAATTACAGAAATTAAATACTGATATAATATGTTTGCAAGAGACACATATAAAAAAACAATATTATAAACTCTTGGAATACCCCAAAATTGGGAAACTCTATTATGCATTAGCCCAACAGAAAAAAAGCGGAGTAGCTGTACATGTTAAAGAGCCAATAGATTCTAAAATGATTTATTCAGATGAAGAAGGAAGAATTGTGATGGTAGAAATATTTCTACATAAAAAACAAACACTTTTGGTAGCAATATATGCACCAAAAAAATAAGCAAGAAGAATTCTGTCAAAATCTCCATAGTAAAATAACAGAAATGGAATACCAAAATATTTGTTTAATAGGAGACTTTAACACAATAGTAGACGGGACACTTGACTACAAAAGCAGCAAAACAGGAAAACATGGAAGAAAAAGATTGCCTAGTCAGTGGTGGCGAACCTATGGCACGGGTGCCAGAGGTGGCACTCGGAGCCCTCTCTGTGGGCAAATGTGCCGTTGCCCCAGCCTTGCCTCCCGCCGTGACCCTCTCCTCTCCAGCACACCCCCTGAAGGAGAGTCGCCCCTGAGTGCCCACGCGGAGCAGCACAGCCAAGGACATGGCAGCCAGGCAGTATAGACAAGACTCTGCCCTCACACCCCATCGTGCACAGTTGATGCTGCAGAGGGTGTGACTGCCATAGTGCTGCTGGGCTGCCTGTGAGATCTGCGGCGGGTCCTGGAGGCGGTGAGTGGTCCTGTGGGCAGGCAGGGCAGGGAATGGGGGGGTGGAATGGGGGCAGGGCAGGGGGTGGAGCAGGGGCAGGGCCAGTTTCGGGGCACTTGGTCTCTAAAAGATTCTCCATCACTGGCCTAGGTCCTAGGACTTTTTTTTAATATGACAGAGGAAATGGGGGTACAAGATATTTGAAGGGAAACTAATCCGAAAAAATTACAATATACATTCTATTCGAATAGTCATAAATCTCGGTCCAGAATCGACATGATTTGGATGACACCTGAATTAAGGACCGACATGCAGGAGATTGAGATAGAACTAGGTACGTGGGCAGATCATAATACTTTAAAAATGACATGGAAAGGAATACAAAAAAAAAATAAAAAAAAATTAAGATGGACTTTGAATCAATCCATATTTTTTTAAAAAAAGAATTTATAGAATTGGCAACAAGAGAAATGGAGTTCTTCTTTAAAGAAAACAAAAAAGAAGATACAACACTACGAAATGTAGGGGATACAGCCAAAGCATATTTTAGAGGTGTAGCTATAACATATATGGTGAAAAACACAAACAAAGAAAAAAGACAACAATAAATACTATTAAGGGAAGAATTTAAAAAACTAGAATTAGAACCAGTGCTTTTTTTGTAAGAAAAAAGGTGCCGGAAGCAACCTTTCACTCCCCTCCTGAGCCGGACTGCCATGCTAAGGTGGATGGGATGGGCGGGGTAGGCCCGGTCCCCCTCCGCCATTTCGGAGCAAGGGGGGAGTGATGCTGCTGGAGGCGCTTTCTTTAAGCTTCGCCCCGCAGATCACCTGCCCGGGCGCAGCCACTGCCTCCTTGTCCTCTGCCAACTCTCCCGTGGCTTGCCCCATGACCGGGTGGCACAAGCCTCCCCCGCCACCTCCACCGCCAGTCCTTTGTTGCCTGTGTCACGGAGAACGGAGAACACAGCAGCTCTGCGCAGGGATGCAGAGCAAAGAACAGCACTTACTTGCTGCCCTGCATTGCCCCACGTCTCCCTTCTCCATTCTGGAAACGGCAGCCCCGTTTCCTGCCGCTTCTCCTCCTGGCGCATAATAAGAATAATAATAAAGTTGTAAGGGACCTTGGAGGTCATCCAGTCCAACCCCCTGCTTAGGCAGAAAACCCTATACCAATGATGGCGAACCTTTTAGAGACCAAGTGGCCAAACTGCAACCCAAAACCCACTTATGTATCATCAGGTGCTGGGTGGGTGTGGCCCATTGGGTGGGTGTGGCCCATTGTGGTGGTAACGGCAGACCGGGTGGGACTAAAAAGTTCAATCAATCAATTCCAACTTTGCGAGATCTTTTTTTCCCCGCGAGAAGTTGAAATTGATTGATTGAACCCTTTTTTTGCACATCGCAGCAGAGGTCTAAAGCGAAAAGGTTTTATAAAACCCAGCTGAAGGCCTAGGATGGCATGCGTGCCCACAGAGAGGGCTCTGCGTGCCACCTGTGGCATGCATGCCATAGGTTTGCCACCACGGCCCTATACCATTTCAGACAAATGGCTGTCTGGTCTCTTCTTTAAAACTTCCAGTGTTGGAGCATTCACAGCTTCTGGAGGCAGGTTGTTCCACTGGTTAATTGTTCTAACTGTCAGGAAGTTTCTCCTTAGGTTGCTTCTCTCTTTGGTTAGTTTCCATCCGTTGCTTCTTGTCCTGCCTTTAGGCGCTTTGGAGAATAGCTTGACTAACTCTGGAGATTTGGTCTCAGAACCCCAGTTGATCATCCAGCTCTCTCAATCATAAGTGTCAAGGTTGACTTGCTAAGATGATTGCTAACCTGTGTTGCTAATCAGCTTGCCCTAGAAACAGCGGGGAGGGGAAGCTTGGGAAAGAAATGGGATTTTTAAGAAGCCATCTATGGGCCGTGAGAGTCAAGGTCACAAAGGCAGGTGTCTGCCGGAGAAGTGGACCAAACCAAAGAAGCCTGATTGGGCAATGTGAACACTTGGTGGGTGGGGTTTATGGAAAGCTATTGTTAACTAACCAGATTTTCGCGCGGGAAAACTAGAGTTGATTTTGCTTCTTCAGTACCGAGATGTGTGTTCAATAAAGTTTACCTTTTATGGCACCTTAAAGCCATAAAGTTTCTTTAGTGTTGAATTCGCTAGCTGGACGGTTGACAATAAGTACATAAAAACATAAGCAGTGTCCCCTGCCCCAACTAGTCCAGCCATTTCTTTTTCCAGTTGCCCACTGACTGCACAAAGAAGCCCATTTCTCTCCCAACAGATAGCCTCCAGAAGTAGCCCCACCACCATCAAGGCTAATAGCCACTGTGTCAACGCTGCTAACATTGGATGTTCTTGCTTTGACAACAGATGGAAATGCAGCCATTTTACTCTTTCGCTTTTAGAGTTAGTTGATGCTGAGAGGGGGAATGTGGATGAGAGTCCAGCTAGTCATAACAATAATAACTCAGCCATGGGAATCCAAGGTTATTGCGCCCAGAGTTGATAAAGATTTGGCGGGCTGGAGAGCTAGGGAAAAAGCCCATGCTTCAGGCTAATTGGGGAATGTGATTTATGACTGTTAATTGGAGGAGGGAATTGTGCTTTGCTACTTTGTGCCCAGGAGTGGGGAATTCAGTTTTTGGCTTTAAATATGTAGTGCCGATACTTTATTTCTTGAATAAAAGATTCTTTAAGATAAACAATGTCTCGAAGTTCTTCTGAAGAGTTTCATCTGCCAGAACCATGACACACTGACCACCAGGATTTCCATGAATTGGTCTCAACTCTTTTTTTTTTAAAAGCCAACCAAGCTGGTAGCAAACATATTGAAGAGGAGATTTCATTAACTTTCTTTTCAGCTCCTGGAAAAAAGAAAGAATATGTATACAATGACCAATGCATAAAAATAATTCTTTAATGAAAAAATGATTATTTTTCATGAGCTAATAGTCTCCATACTTATTTCAGTAAAGGGTACATTCCTATTTGTATGTAGGAGGCAGCCCTATAGCATTTACTAAAAATAGCTGTCCCCTCTTTTGCTGGCTGGGAATTCTGGGAGTTCAAGTCCACATGTCTTAAAGTTGCCATGTTTGAAAAGACCAGGTCTAGACCAATCTCTAGTGTTCCACTCCAGCATAAGGTGGTGGTCTCATAGGTCCAGATTTACCTGATTAATACTAAGTTTTCTGGGGCAGTTTCACCTGGATTTAATTCAGAATATGGTTTTAGGATTGCTTTGGTTCCCTTGGTGAATAACCAATGCCAGAAATTCAAGTGTTTATTTGAGGAGCACTGATAACTCCACCTTGCAGATTCTCCCACCTCATCCTAAGGACAGACTTGGAACCAAACCAAGGGTATTTTTAAGCTCTGTTACTGGTTCTTCCACCTCTGAAATCTTGATCGTAACTCTCAGTTATAATAAAGTCATAGCCAACAAGGTGTGGGAAGTCATCCCCCCTCCCCAGAGAAGGAAATATTAAAAGGGCAGAATATTATATTTCCTCAAAGGATCTTAAAAAGGCAGAAAAGCATGCCCAGTTTTTCTTAATAAACTCATGTCTCCCTCCCTGAAGCAGAAACCAGCTTGATAGAAATGCAGATGTGATAATCCATTCAGGAAGGTTGGAGCCCTCCAGCTAGAAGATTAAGAAGACAAAGACATCTAAAATCTACATACCCCACCCAAACTCTAGGACAGGACAATAGGATTCACCCACAGATGCCAAAGGGGCACACTCAGACTCAAGTCAAAGTACATGACACAGGAAATACAAAACCTCAAACAGGAACAGGAAACAACCTCAAGAGCCCCAGAGGGTATAAAAACCCACTCCCTACACGAGTCATAAAAGGGCCAAGTCTGAAGACCCCCCTGAACTATCCTCCCTGTTGGATTGTCTCTGCATAGTTTCCAGTGTATTTTGAAACTTCAGCTGTTCTGGAATGCCTCACTATATTATTGACTTGGGATCAGCCTGTGACTTTTGCTTCATAGTGATTTCTTCAGCTATTGGATCATTCCTGGATGCATTTGGTTATGCTTTGTAAAGCACTGCAGACCATTGGTTATGCTTTGTAAAGCCTTGCAGAAATTGGGGTGAGGCCATTTCAAACAATATTATCTCAAGCAAATTGGCATGGTTGTTAAGGTCCTTTTCAGTTGGCTGCCACTGTGGCTGCCATCAAAAGAGACCAGTCTGTCTCCATTTCTGGTTGTTTGCCAATAGGGTAGAACTTCATTCAGGCACTGATTAGCATTTAAGCCAGGGGCCTTCAAACAGGGCGACTTTAATACTTGTGGACTTCAACTCCCAGAATTCCTCAGCCAGCGTGCCTGGCTAAGGAATTCTGTGTGTTGAAGACCCCGAGTCGTAAAAGGGCCAAGTTTGAAGACCCTTGTCTTAGAGGCTATTTCCAGGGAGATGATAGAAAACATTCACCAGATTTGATGATAATGAAGTTATCCATTCAGCCATGTCTGGCTCTTGGAGATTCCATGGGTCAAATATCCCCACCTCTTCTGATTTTGCAATAGTTCTTTGAGTTTTTGTGTGCTCCAGCTAGTGTCAGCTTTCACGGTGTCCAGCCACCGTGTTCTTTGATGGCCTGATTTCCTTTTTATCTGTTAAATCAGTGTTTCTCAACCTTGACAATTTTAAGGCATGCGGACTTCAATTCCCAGAATTCCACAGCCAGCAATGCTGGCTGTGGAATTCTGGGAGTTGAAGTCCACATGCCTTAAAATTGTCAAGGTTGAGAAACACTATTTAACTCTTCCAAACCCAATAGCTTTCTCCAGTAAATTCCCCTGCATGGCATGGCCAAAATAAGCGAGATGCAGTTTCGTGATTTTTGCCTAGCACAAAAAGAGGAATTTAGCACATAAATCCACTTTATAATCCTAGGCAAGATCTAATATGTTATCCCAAGCCTATCTGCAAGGAGCCTATGAATACAGGAAGAAAACCAACGCCAATGCAATAAAAATGGTTTTTGTTTTATTTATTTAAAGTTTCAAATCTCCCCATCGCCATAAATCTCTAGGTGGCACTATTTTAAAAAAAATTAAAAACGTACAACAATAAAGTGCAACATAAACCATCATGAGAACTAGCAACTCGCACGTCAGTCATTCAAAATCAAATTAAAGGCAAAACCAACTCAAGGAGAGAAACAACCTAGAACTAAGGAGAAACTTCCTGACAGTTAGAACAATTAACCAGTGGAACAACCTGCCTCCAGAAGCGGTGAATGCTCCAACACTGGAAGTATTTAAGAAGAGACTGGACAACCATTTGTCTGAAATGGTATAGGGTTTCCTGCCTGAGCAGGGGGTTGGACTAGATGACCTCCAAGGTCCCTTCCAACTGTATTATTACTATTATTATTATTATTATTATTATTATTATTATTATTATTATTATTATTATTATTATTATTATTATTATTATTATTATTATTATGGATCATCGCACAGTCAGCCAGATGTTCAGACTGGATTTGGCATTTTGTCTACCTATTGAGTCCTTACCAAGGATGTGGGATAGGCAGATGTGGATGTTTGATGGTATCATTATCATCATCATCATCATTATCATCATCATCATCAAGAAGCCCAAGACAATAGAAAAAAATAATAAATCTTCACCTGGTGCCGAAAAGATATAAATGTGATTCTCCCCAGGGAGGAAATTCCATGAACGGGGTGCAAAAGTTCTCCCTGGACGAAAAAATAAAATAAAATAAAAAACGGGCCCCAAGGGCAAAGAAAACAGAACAGCAACGTATTCCCCCCCCCTTTGTAACATCCGTTTCGGATAGCGACGTCCATCCTCTGCGGCGCGAGAACTCAGCCAGGCTTTTATGATGCAGTTTACCTTCCTTTTCCTCCCACGGGAGCCATCCCAGATGGGAGGGCGAGGATTGATTGATCGTTCTTGCTGTCAATAATCCAAATTTACTCCACTTTCAACATCTGGCCTCAATCCCTTTACGCACCGCCGGCTGGCGATCCTGAAGGCGGTGCGCTCCGGAGCCAAGACCCGCCAGGTCTTTCGTCCAGAAAGGCGATGTGGAGGGGTCTTCCAAGCGCCATTCCGGGAGGGTTAGAAGCATCTTCCAAGCATCTTTCCAAGCATCTTTCCAACGCGGCTGTCCAGATCGCGCCGCTCCCAGCTCAGCCCGCGACGGTCGCTCCAGCTGCAACCGAGAAAAAGCGCCTTTCCGAAGTGGCGAAGGAGGAACCGGAGCCGGTTTATAAGGGCAGCGCAATAAACCCAGCCTCCTTTTTTTTTTTTGACACACAGCAGGCGTGAGCTTGCACGGTTGCGTCATTTGCACGCCTGGTGTGATTCCCTCCACCGCCACGCCTTCAAGGCTTCAGCTCCTCAACCATTGAAAGGAGGGGTTTTTTTTTTTACTCCGCCCGGCCAGTCTGCAAAACGGGGCGCGCTCTTGGCCTGCAGCGCAACCTCCGGGTCTTGCGGTCGTATGAAACGGTGCTTTGCAAACTCGCCGCTTTCTCCCTCCCCCCCCCGCCACGGTTCTCAAGGCTGAAGCCGACGCTGCCTGGCTAGACGGGAGGTGGGGAGGTGTGTGTGTGTGGGGGGGCATCCACGCCTTTGAGTTGTGGTGCAAAGCAGGGAGTGAGGTTGTGTCGCTTGAACCGCGCGCGGATCCCTGGCGCTGCTCTCTGAGCTGGGTTGTTGTTCTTGCAGGCGTGTCCTGGCTCAACCATCGGCGCTAGTAAGGAATGGGGGGTTTGTTGTCGGTTTGTATCCTGCTGGCTTGCCCCAAATAGAAACTGAGAGCAAACCGCACTCCTCCCACCGCAGCACTGACGCTGTCACCTAGTTGGGTCATGAAACGTCTGCAAGGGAAGCAACCGGCTTAGGGAACACCAAGGACCCCTCATTTCAATACTGAGCTGCAAATATTCAGGAAGGATGGGGTTTGCTCTGTTCTAGAGGCTTGCCCAGAATATAAGCTGAAAGCAAGCCTCTCTCCTTACTACCATCAGCTAGTTTGGGTAATGAAAGGTCGGCAAGAAAGCTACCAAGCTGAGAGAGCACCAAGGACCCATCAGTTCTCCTCCTCCTCCTTTCCACAAACCCTCTTTCTTTTAGCACTGGTGATGTTACCTAGTTTGGTAATGAAATGTCTGCAAGAAAACAACCAAGCTCAGAGAGCACCAAGGACTCCACACAGTTGTTGTTGTTGTTGTTGTTGTTGTTGTTGTTGTTGTTGTTGTTGTTGTTGTTGTTCTTCTTCTTCTTCTTCTTCTTCTTCTTCTTCTTCTTCTTCTTCTNCTTCTCCTTCTCCTCCTCCTCCTCCTCCTCCTTCTTCTCCTTCTTCTCCTTCTCCTTCTCCTCTTCCTCTTCTTCCTTCTCCTCCTCCTCCTCCTCCTCCTCCTCGCAAACCCTCTTCCTTTTAGCACTATTGATGTAACCTAGTTTGGGTAATGAAACGTCTGCAAGAAAACTACCAAGCTCAGAGAGCACCAAGGACCCATCAGTGGTCCTCCTCACAAACCCTCTTCCTTTTAGCACTGTTGATGTAACCTAGTTTGGGTAACAAAACGTCTGCAAGAAAACTACCAAGCTCAGAGAGCACCAAGGACCCCTCATTTCAACCCTGAGTTGCAACAATTCTCCTTTATTGAACCATGTGCCTTGGTTCTTCTTCTGATGTTTTTAAAAAGGAAATCGAACTTGCAATGCTCCCTCTAGGGGAAACAAAGATTCACGAAAGCCAAGGATTGCCAGGTTTATTATTCTGCAGTTCCAAGTAAGAGGTTTTTGTCTCTGATGCATTTCATCAGAGTTCTCCTGTGACAACCGTGGCCTTTGAGGTTCTCCATTTCCGAAGACGTGAAAACAGGTTCAGATTTTCCATGTTAGGCTGCTTGAAAATTCCCTTCAGATTTCTCCGGCTGATATTGTTTGGGGATTGTTTAAGGGGGGCTCAGAGGCTCCTTATTGTGCAATTTTCTCCTACACAACACAGGGTCCAAATGATGGCGGGGTGTTGGTGGTGTTGGAAGAGCTGGGAGATCAAAGATCAGTTGTAAATACCACTTGTTTAGCACCCTTGTAACTTCAAATGGTTGCTAAACGAATGGCAGTAAGTTGAGGACTACCTCTAGTTCTCAGCTGATAAAATCATGCATAACATGGAGAAGATGGACAGCACTCTCATGGATCATCAATCAATCAATCAATCAGAATAAAGCTGGAAGGGATCTTGGAGGTCTTCTAGTCCAACCCCCTGCTCAAGCAGGAGACACTATAGCCGTGGTGGGGAACCTATGGCACGTGTGCCACAAGTGGCATTCAGAGCCCTCTCTGTGGGCACGCGCGCTGTTGCCCCAGTCCTAGGCCTTCAGCTGAGTTTTATAAAACCTTTTCACTTTAGGCCTTCGCCACCGTGTGCAAAAAAAAGGGTTCAATCAATCGATCAATTTCAACTTCTCACGGGAAAAAAAAAGATCTCGCAAAGTTGGAATTGATTGATTGAACTTTTTAGTCCCACCCAGTTTGCTGTTACCACTGCAGCCACGCTCACCCAATGGGCCACACCCACCCAATGGGCCACGCTCACCCGGCACCCGACGATACATACGTGGGTTTTGAGTTGAAGTTTGGGCACTCGGTCTCTAAAAGGTTCGCTATCACTGCACTATAGCATTCCATACAAGCGGCTGTCCAGTCTCTTCTTAAAAGCCTCCAGTGATGGAGCATCTACAACTTCTGGAGGCAAGCTGTTCCACAGGTTACTTGTTCTTACTCTCAGGAAGTTTCCTCTTAATTCCAGGCTGCTTCTCTCCTTGATTAATTTCCATCCATTGTTTCTTGTCTTGCCTTCTTGATTTAACCTAGCAGGGCTAGTCACAAGTTTTGTGAAGGATTCAGGCTTATTTAGGATTGCTTTATCTATCCCCCAAATAGTGCTGTCTCTTTGGGTTTATTTGATTCACCTGGAGTTGGTTTGGTGGAATTTGTGGATGTCTGCGTATTCTCAATATTGCTAGAAATGCTGATAAAAATGTAACTTGGTTTCACTGTCAGGTGCACATATGGTTTGTTCTAAAATGTTTAGAAGGCCAGATCCTGAAGTTGAAACTCAAGTACTTTGGCCATCTAGTGAGAAGGAAAGACGCACTGGAGAAGAGTCTAATGCTGGGAAAGATTGAAGGCAAGAGAAGAAGGGGACGACAGAGAATGAGGTGGCTGGATGGGATCACTGAAGCAGTAGGCGTGAGCTTAAATGGACTCCAGAAGATGGTAGAGGACAGGAAGATCTGGAGGAACATTGTCTATGGGGCCGCGATGGGTTGGACATGCCTTCGCAACTAACAACAACAAAAAAAAAATGTCAGAAATTTTCTTCATATGATCAATCATTGGATGACAGTTTAACACAAAAACCTATTCAGTGAGTTGCCTGTTTGAGCAGTTGACAAATTCGCCATTAGTCAATTGCAAAAGGCAGCCTTACTAGCAACTGCTTGCATCCTGCAACGATATCTGTAATACCATCAAACATCCACATTTGCCTATCCCAGGTCCTTGGTAAGGACTCGATAGGTAGACAAAAATGCCAAATCCAGTCTGAACATCTGGCTGACTGTGCGATGATCAACAACAACAACAACAACAACAACAACAACAACAACAACAACAACAATAATAATAATAATAATAATAATAATAATAATAATAATAATAATAATAACTTTATTGTCACTTTGAATGTACACCAATCAGCATACATCAAAAAGAAATTTCATTGCATAGAGCTTTCAAAGGGCCACCGCCTCCGATACACACTCCTTGTTCGTGGCCAGCTCAAGTTTCAGATCATCCATCTTAGTCTCTAGGCAGCGAACGATGGCAAACAGGACGGATGGAAACGGAGCTCCATATACTGCATGGTTTCCAAATTTTGCTGTTTGGTTACCTAAATTACATCAATTTTGTATGTTCTTACTGCACAATATATCATTTACGACTTGAATAAACAATGGTGTTGATGCTTCACAACTGGTGCTCTTTCATGTTTGCTACTCATCCTTGAAGACTCTTTCCAGAGCCACCTTCAAGGATGTTCTGGGCTGATTCTTTGCCCTCTTCTTCCTCCCGACTAAGAAATAAAGGAGTGGGTTGATGCTGCTATTGAGAGCGGCACATCCTATCCCAATGGTCACGAGGAGGGGATTATAAGAACCAAAATATTCAATGACATACAAGGCATCCATTGGGAGAGAAAAAAGGAGGAAGCAAAGGAGAGCCAGCAGGATGACGGAGAGCAGCTTCCTTTGATTGCGTTGTGATCTAGACCTTACATGAATCAAGAGAGTCCCAGTAGACACAACCATGAGTGGGGTACAAAGTAAACCATTCACAATCAGCTGATAAAGGAAAGGTGAACTTTCAGAGCTGCTGGTCTGGTGGAGAATGAAGTGCACTGCAGAGAGCAGGAAGGAGAGGATCCAGATGATGACACAAACAAGGGTGGAGAAATATGGCGGACGATGGCAGCGATGCCAGAGTGGGAAGAGGACCGCCACACACCTGTCCAGGCTGATGGCCGTCAGCAGAAACTGGCTAGCAGAATAGGTGAAGAGAAAGAGCTCAAAAAATAACAAGAAAAAAACTGCCAGAAGTTTAGTCGTTTTATGGAGAGTTAAAACAGCCACAAATATAGCTGCCATAATAAAGAATGTGAGGGCCCCCGAATCAGCAATGGAGAGATTCAGGATGAAAGTGGTGAAAGAATTCCTCTTAATGGAATAGGCTAAAAAATAAATCGTTGCTCCATTTCCAATCAGGCCTAAAATGCAAACAATGGCAATGGAGCCGTTGATGAGGTTCCGGGTTAAAACATCAAACGTAGGAGTAGCTCTAAAATATTCATTCCAGCCATGACTCCTGTTAACAGAAAGAAACAAAAAAGAGAATCATTCCTTGTTTCAGAAATCCTTGAATGCTGAAATAATAATAATAATAATAATAATAATAATAATAGTAGTAGTAGTAATAGTAGTAGTAGTAGTAGTAGTAGTAGTAGTAGTAGTAGAGTTGGAAGGGACCTTGGAGGTCATCTAGTCCAACCCCCTGCTTAGGCAGGAAACCCTATACCATTTCGGACAAATGGCTGTCCAGTTTCTTCTTAAAAACCTCCAGTGTTGGTGCATTCACTGCTTCTGGAGGCAGGTTGTTCCACTGGTTAATTGTTCTAGCTGTCAGGAAGTTTCTCCTTAGTTCTAGATTGCTTCTCTCCTTGATTAATTTCCATCTTTTGTTTCTTGTCCTGCCTTCAGGCGCTTTGGAAAATAGCTTGACTCCCTCTTCTTTGTGGTAGCCCCTGAGATATTGGAACACTGCTATCATGTCCCCCCTTGTCCTTCTCTTCATTAAACTAGACATACCCAATTCCAGCAACCGTTCCTTATATGTTTTAGCCTCCAGTCCCCTCATCATCTTTGTTGCTCTTCTCTGCACTCTTTCTAGAGTCTCAACATCTTTTTTTACATTGTGGTGACCAAAACTGGATGCAGTATTCCAAGTGTGGAATTAAGGTAGATAGCAACAGATAAAAACAGAAAGTATAAATCACACAAAAACAAATGATTACAATTTAAAGCAAGGATAAAACCAGTATCATTAAAAATGGATGCAGTATTCCAAGTGTGGCTTCTATTCTATTCTATTCTATTCTATTCTACTCTACTCTACTCTACTCTACTCTACTCTACTCTACTCTACTCTACTCTACTCTACTCTGCTCTGCTCTACTCTACTCTACTCTACTCTACTCTACTCTACTTTAAAAATCTTCATTGAATCACTTGGGAATCTGACGTCTCTGTACATTCACCCAAAGTAGGTTAAGAACAAGCTGAGTTGGGCAATCTCCATCCTTCAGAAGAGGCTCCTATTCCAGCAGCTCCAATGAGCAGAGCAGAGGATGAATTTTCCTTTGGAATGTGATGAAACAATTTGAAGGCTAATTTAATTCCTTCCAAGACAATATTTTGCACCATAAAATACTTACAAGACATAGTAGGTTGGCCACACACCATAGTGTCCTGTGTTATTTAAATCTAAGGTACAGAAAGATCATGATTAGTGTCAAAATACACATATATTTTAGAAACATCTTCCAAAGTTACAAATTTGTTTTTATGTCTCTGTGTCTGTGTATAGATAAATAAATAAATCCTCAATATTTTTTCCTGTGGTCACCCCAGAGAGCCGTTGGTGAGTAATCAGTTTGGGTGGTGCTTTCTAAGGTCCCTGCCCCAGAAATATTTAACCTGATAATTAATTAGAAAAAAAAATCATCTTCAAAGGGAAAATGTTCTTCCCACCCTTGTTTTTCCTTCATTTTCAGAAATGCTTCTGGGCTTCAAATCACTTAAAATAAATCTTAAAGTACATGGAGATTGGCTTCATCCCTTGTGTCCTTCCAAAGGACAATTCTGGGATGACGTTGTGTATAGGAAATGGCAAATAACACAATGTTAACATTCTTATGTGGGAAGTCAGACCCCCCAGAGAAGGAAATATTAAAAGGGCAGAAAAATATATTTCCTCAAAGGATCTTAAAGAGGCAGAAAAGCATGCCCAGTTTTTCTGTCTCCCTCCCCCAAGCAGAAACCAGCTCTATAGAAATGCAGATGTAAATCCAGGAAGGTTGGAGCTAGAAGATTAAGAAGACAAAGACACCTAAAATCTACATACCCCACCCAAAGTCTAAGACATGATATAATAGGATTAACTCACAGATGCCAAAGGGACACAGGTCAAAATCCATGACACAGGAAATAGCCTCAAACAGGAACAGGAAACAACTCCAAACAAAAGGCTCCAGAGGGTATAAAAACCCACTCCCTACATGTGCTCACTTTTTTTTTCTGCCAGAGCCATCTTTCTGTCTGGCTCTCCTCTTCAATAAACTGCAACCTTCTTTCTAAAGCAGTCACCATGTTTATTCCCAGCTTGGACTGAACCACGATGAAGACTTTTCTTTCAATAGTTACATTCCCCATGAAAACTATTTTATGAAAAAAAATTGCTTAGGAGACATTTTGTGAACATACCCACGGAATGTCTTCAAAATGTCAATGCAAGCTTAATCCCAGGAGGGATGGGACAGGGGTGACTTGCGATTTGCTGCTAAAATTTCATTTTGGGAATAAGTTCATGAAGCATTATGAACCCTCGAGGTTTTTGTTATCAGTAGCATCCACAAAGGAAAGGAAATAATATACAGTACAGTTTTCATGCTGTTCATACCATCTGAATAATTAAATTGCTGCTCCATTGTGCAAAAAATGTCGTTTTCTTGCTTAGAAACATTCAACTCCATGGATAAGGTGGACAATCTGGGACACTGTAATTTAAGAGGAAATGCCATTATCAAAAGCAAGCAAACTCGATTTTTTTTTTCTGATTGTCAAAATGATTGAAAGGATTTGGGCTCTTAGGGAATTCAAATTCCTTTGTCCACACAAAACAGGCATAATAACCCTTCTTAGCTTTCAATCAAGCAATCAAAATTTATTTACAGGCCAAGCCCAAAAGAGCAGAAATGCAGTACGTTTAAGTACAAAACATGCATTTTAAAAACGGAAAGAAAGTATTTAAAAAGTTAGCAGCTTAACAATCATTAGCGTGAGAATAGAACCTGCTGTTGTAGCTGGATAGATTTAAGAGTCAAGTTAAGAGGCAGTGGAGAGAAAGCAGAGCTGCTTAACTCATTCTTTGCATCAGTCTTCACGCAAAAAGAAACTGTAGCCCAACCTACCAAAAACCTAACTCTAAAGGACAGACTAAAAATTAAAATTAAAATAAGCAAGAAAATGGTAAAAGAACACCTGTCTGTTCTTGATGAATATAAATCACCAGGATCTGATGGATTACATCCCAGAGTTCTGAAGATGCTGGCAGATACTATCTCAGAACCATTGCACCATATCTTTCAAAAATCCTGGAGCAATCAGTCAGTCAGAATAGAGCGGGAAGGAAACTTGGGGGTCTTCTAATCCAACTTTCTGCTCAAGCAGGAGACCCTATAATACAATTTCAGACAAGTGACTGTCCAATCTCTTCTTAAAAACCTCCAGTGATGGAGCACCCACGATTTCTGAAGGCAGCTTCTGTTCCACTGGTTAATTGTCCTCGCTGTTAGGAAGTTTCTCCTTAATTCCAGGTTGCTTCTCTCCTTGATTAGTTTCCATCCAGTGTTTCTTTTCCTGCCGTCTGGTGCCTTGGAAAATGTCAAGAGAAAAGAAGGACTATGGGAGACACGATAGTATTATTCCAGTATTTGGGGGGGGGGGGCTAACCAACCTAAACCCCTGAGACAGAAGAACATTTTCTTTAGAAATACTGCACAATCAGATCTTCCAAAAAGAAGTAATAGAAAAATCTCAAAAGGAACTCAGACCCAGAAACTAGCTATTACAAATATAGATTCGTCCAGGAAGCATGGGGGGCGGGGGGGGAGAAAATGCCTCAAGGAAACAGCCACTTCCCTTTACAACAGGGCTGTCAAACTCAATTTCACTGAGGGCCGCATCAGCATTGCGGTTGCCCTTGGGGGGCCGGGTGGGTGTGGCCAGGGTGGGTGCAGCCTACTGGGTGGGCGTGGATGGAGTGGCTGTGGCCTACTGGGTGGGCATGGCCAGCTCTACATCGTTCGCGTCAAGGGTGCCTGTCGGGGCCTGGGCAGGAGTGGGACAGATCTGGCAGAAAGGGGTGGGACCGGGGCAAGCGCCAAGGCATGGTCCATTTCTTCATTCCTCACAAAGGGTGACCTTCCCCAGCATGCACCCATGGGGTGGGGCCGACGCGGCAGGGGCTGGTTCCTCGCTGTTTCCAGACGGCCTTGTGGAGCTAAGACTGAATGCATTTCAGCATAGATGGCCACCACAAATTGTACATTGGCTCTCGGCCGGCCATCCTGGGCCAGGGCCAAGGCAGAGGGAGCCGTTCCCTCATTGTTTCCAGGATGGCTTCGCGGGCCACATGAAACCATTTCGTGGGCCTCATCCGGCTTTACAAGAAAGGATAAATCAAGCCGAAATTTAAAAGTACTAAAGAAGAGAGGTTTTTTTTTCTCTCTCGCTCTTCCTCCCTCACCCTGTGTAATTCTGGGCAGACAGCCAAGAACCATTTAGCCAAAGGAAACGGCCTTGGGGGATAAGAAACCACAAAACATGCGCCTTGTGTAAACAATAAAAAAAACCGACTGGATTAGAGGCTGCGGAAATATCCACCTGATAGAAACAATGTAAAAACTGACAAGATTAGCCCAAACACACACACACAGAAACCCATCAGCATAGAGGTAAAGCGGTTGGTTAGGAAGCCCCACGTAGAGGTGGTAGAGCACGCCCCGGGCCAGCAGGCAAAAGGCCACCCTGAGCGGAGAAAGGCAGATCCCCATTGGTGTCATGGCTGCTCGGGCCCAGCAGAGATGGGGAGAGGCACGCAATCCTAGCTGGGATAGGGGGGGCATGGTGCCAATGGGGAACTGGCTTTCCCCGCTTGGAGTGGCCTTTGGCTTGCTGGGCCTGAGCGTGCTCTACCACCTCTACTCAAGCTTGCTAGCTGGCTGCTTCGCCTCCTTTGTGCTGGGTGGGGCTGCCGCTCTGGGTGGTGGCCTAATGGACCTACACGAGTTGCTGGCGGTGGCATCCCATGGTGGGGCCAAGGTGTGTTGGGTGTGCAAAGGGAACAGGCTCCATGTGTGGGCCAAGGGCAAGATCTGCGAGGGGGGCGAGATGACCAGCAGCAACCTGCTCTCCAACTGCAAGCAAAAACAGATGGGATGGAGTAGGCATGTCCAGCAGTCTGCATCATGCGCCTCTCCCCTTCCCTACTTCGCCTGCTGCTGGAGGGCTGGCCCGGTACTGGCAGTGGGCTGGGAAGCCCCAGAGTGCGCCGGTTGAGGGGCCGGAAGGCTGTGGCTGCTGATGGACATCATTGGCCCCCAGGCACTTGCTGGCCTCTGAGTGCAGGGGCCAATGGTGTCAGGCAGCAGTCATCCTGGACACTGCCTCACCTTCCCTTGTCCCATGGCAATGGCACCCCCGCCCTGCCCCCTGCCTCACCCCACAGGAAGAACCTTCTGCCTACCACCCCACCCACCAGAGACCCTTGGATCTCCCCCAACCCTGCCCGGTCCCCATAGGTGTCCCCTCCACAAGCAACATCAAGGTGGTCACGGCCACCCCAGCCATGCCCCCCCAGTCTGCTGTGACCACCACAGCCACGCTCACTCAGTGGGCCATGCCCCCCTCTCCCCCTGAGGGCACCACAATGCTGATGCAGCCCTGGCACTTTGCAATAAATAAGTGGGTTTGGAGTTGCGGTTTGGGCACTCGGTCTCCAAAAGGTTCGCCATCACTGGTGTAGGGTCTCCTGCTTGAGCAGGGGATTGGACTAGAAAACCTCCAAGGTCCTTTCCAGCTCTCTTCTGAATTGAAATTGAAGTTGAGTCCCATGATTGGCTAGGGGATCCTGCCGAATCTGCTGATCCCACCCTGAAGATTTCCAAGTCTTATCCTGATCTCAAAAATGAGTACTTTGCAAAGAACAACGACCACAACAGAAACTCTTGTCTTTACTGCTGACATACCTGGTGAAGAAAGGAAGAATCTCCAGAGAGGACCAGCAACTTATTTTTTCCAGAAGGTAAGGCGGAGATGTTTTCCCGTGAATCCAGACATTTCGCCCTTGAGGCAGTCTCAGTGAGAAAGGGGAATTGAGCTGAACCAAGCTGCAACCTTTCTCAGAAAGAGAAAAAGGAACTTGCGTAATATGTGTTATGTGCTCCTGGCTACTTTCCTTCATGACCAGAGGCAAGCTCGCCTGACCAATAACCAGCCAAGACACAGTGAAGGCCTTTTGTTTCGTTTATTGGAGAGCTTGGTTCTTTCCAAAGTTTTAACCCAAAGTATTTCCTTCTTTATACATCCCTTGTCCCGGCTGCCACATCCCTCCTCTTTCCCCATTGGCTGAGGTACTATGAGGTTACACTCTTTCCGACCGCCTCCTACATATTTCCTGCTACATACTAAATCATACATCACATGTACATTAAAATTAGGAGATAATTTATGCAAGGTGTGTCAGTTAATATTAATCAATTAATTGCGCATGCTCAGTTGCCTGAGTTCTGGCCCCCCTTTTTTATGACTTCTTAGAAAAATAGGTTCTTTCCTGTTTTGCTAGTTATCTTCTATGACAGACGTTTTCGTCTTCCTTTTCCCACTCTTAAGACCCAGCTAATTTTGCCTACATATTTCATTTACATCCTTTCTTTATGTTAACCTTTCCTCTTTCTCACCATAGCTTCTCTACTCAGTATATTTCCACTGCAGCAAATTCAATTTTAAATTTCTCTTTCAATATTAAATTTTGAAGATCTTTCTTTTACTTCTATCATATGGATCTCCGACTTTTGTAACTTAAGCTGTTTTTCCACACAAGATGCAAAGGAGGTGCTTAAAGATACGATCATATCAAAGAGTCACAGGATTTAAAAGGCATTGAATTGAGATCTGATTCACATGGTGATTTACAAGAAATGAAAAGGACCAGAGGGCACATGATAACAGCCTTCCAATGTCTCAGGGGCTGCCCCAAAGAAGAGGGAGTCAAGCTATTCTCCAAAGCGCCTGAAGGCAGGACAAGAAGCAATGGATGGAAACTAATCAAGGAGAGAAGCAACCTAGAACTAAGGAGAAACTTCCTGACAGTTAGAACAATTAATCAGTGGAACAACCTGCCTCCAGAAGTGGTGAATGCTCCAACACTGGAAGTTTTTAAGAAGAGACTGGACAGCCATTTGTCTGAAATGGTATAGGGTTTCCTGCCTGGACTAGATGACCAATAAACAACCAATCCTTGCTTTCAAAATGACTCCAAGAAATAGTGCAAGCATCTACTATTTTGCTCATTTTTTCCAAGGTGCAAATGCATGTTTGATTCTGGACTTCAGACCAAAAATCAGAAACTCAGTGAATAGAAAGGATTTCCCCTTAGACTGATCTAGATGGAGCAAGACCAAAGGTTTTTGTTCCAATACAGGATGTTGGTTTCCTGGCATCTATAGTTCAACAAATCGCATCCAAGGTGGACATGAAACACATTTTATTCTGTACAGAATAGACTCCTTGGGATTATACAGTTCCCAAATCAAGTCACTAGGGAAAAAAACATTTTTATACCATTCCTCAAAAAAAAAAAGTATCATGTGATTTTAAAGGTAATAATAATAATAATAATGATAAAGTTGGAAGGGACCTTGGAGGTCATCTAGTCCAACCCCCTGCTCAGGCAGGAAATCCTATACCATTTCGGACAAATGGCTGTCCAGTTTCTTCTTAAAAAACTTCCAGTGTTGGCGCATTCACCGTTTCTGGAGGCAGGTTGTTCCACTGGTTAATTGTTCTCACTGTCAGGAAGTTTCTCCTTAGTTCTAGGTTGCTTCTCTCCTTGATTAGTTTCCATCCGTTGCTTCTTGTCCTGCCTTCAAGCGCTTTGGAGAACAGCTTGACTCCCTCTTCTTTGGGGCAGCAATACTAGCAGATGTCCCATAACAGCCATTTTTTATCAGTAAAACAAGCATGTCCCATATCTGATATATCTCACATGGGCAGGAAAAAACACTCATCTTTCAAGCCTGTGTTTCCTGTATGCTCCACAGCTGGTCTCTTAAATATTAGAACAACGTGATCAGGAAGGACAACCCTGATGTTTAAGACCGTTGGTATGTTCCAGTACTTTGTTTTCATATCTTGTCCTTGTTTTATATCTATTCCAAATTATGTATGTGAGGTCTAACAAGAGGACTCTTAAAAGCTACGTTAGCTTTCCATTTCTCATATCATAAGTCACCGTGTGATTCCGAATCTCAATTCATGACCTTAAAACTCCTCTAGTCTGGTCATTTTTTTAGCATTTCCTTTGCCTCTTGTCTGTGATAACACTTTAAGTTGCAAAAATCAGAGACACCTATTGCACAAGTTCTTTTTTTTCTTCCCCAGAAAGTCTGCAGGTTGGTCCAATTCAATTCCCCTTTCTCGGAAGAAGGAACTGACTCCATCAAATAGAGGACAGCGAGAATATCATCCTTGAGATTCTGCTGGTCTGCTCTGGAGATTCTTCCTATCATCACCAGGTAGGTTAATAGTAAAAGCAAAGCTTCTCTTGCAGTAATTGTTATTTTCAAAGTACTCTCTTTTTTTTGAGTTCAGGATAGGCTTTGGAAACCATCAGGATGGGATCAGCAAGTTTTGCAGGATGCTCTGGCAAATAACAGAACTCAATTTAGCAGCAATTTTATTCCAGAATGATATGACGTGTTCTATTATCTCTGATTCCGATAAATCTTTATATATATATATAAAGTGCAAGCAGCCCAGGTTTGAATTTCAGAAGGGTATGGCTAGCTGATGACAGCTAAATAGCTCGAAATAGCTATACTGGTCTCCCTTTAATTCTTTGTTGGCAAAAATCTAAATTTAACACACACACATACACACACATATATATACATACATACATGAACTCTATTCTCAAGTTACTTTTTTTGTAAAGTTTTTATTATTTTTTTTCATACAATTCAGGAGTATTTATTCAACAAACGTGTTGTTTGAGTTTATCATTCACTAATACTAATTTAATTCCTAATCCTTTATTCTTTTCTCCAGCCATTGATAAAATAAGTCACAAATTTGAACATATTCTGTATTCTCAAAGTAAGTCTGTCCATTTCTGCACGTTGTAATTTTTTTTTTAATTATTTCTTTCTCTGGTGGTATTTCTTCATTTTTCCAATATTGTGTGAAAATGATTTTTTTCCGCTGTTATCATTATGTAAAAATCAAGTATATGCTTTGTTTGTCAACTTTTTTTCTGGCATTATACCTAGTAATTATACCTATTGAGAGCTAGGAAGGATTACATGTGTTTTCTGCAGACGGCAAACTAACCATGATTTTGAAGTTGAATCCAAGAACAGAGTTCTTTATGTCATTTTGACAGTCAGAACCACAGTCAGGTTGACTTTCTTTTAATAATTGTATTTCCTCTTAAATTGCAGTGTCTTGAATTGTCCTCCTTCACTTGGATCTGAATTTCCCCAAACAGACAAACAACAATTTTGCACAATGGAAGAATTTAATTACATAGAAGGTAGGAACAGCATGTAAATTATATTAGATATCATCTCATATATTAGATACCATATCATAGTATGTTTAAATATGTGTTCTGTATGTGTACACTTTGAGAGCAAGCAATTAAATTTCATTTTTAATGTGTGCCATTGTGCCCACAGTAAAAAATGACAAAAAGTTGTCTGTCTGTCTGTCTGTCTGTCTGTCTGTCTGTCTGTCTGTCTGTCTGTCTGTCTGTCTGTCTGTCTGTCTGTCTGTCTGTCTGTCTATCTATCTATCATTTCTCTTTTCTTGTGGGTACTATTTATGAAAAAATAGTATTCATAAGCTTCATAAACTTATTCCAAAATTCAAATTCTACTACTCCCTGTTCTTTCCCCACCTCCTGGGGTTGGGGGGAAGGCATTGGGAAGGCATTGGCATTTTGCAAACATTCAGAGGCTGCTTTCACAAAAATGGCTTCTGATAGAATTATTCAGAAACTCTTATGGAGCATTTAAGAATATGAACACATTGATACCTGCCACTTGCTCAGGCAATATCATCCCAGAAGGACACAAGAATTGAAGTCAACCTCTTTGTTCTTCAAGAGAACATTGAGAAAAAAATGTGACTGGAGGTCTAGAACCATTTCTGAAAATGTGGGAAAAACAAGGATGGAGAAATAGTCGATTTTTCAAAATGAGCATTTTTGAATGGATTATAATTCTGGGGAAGTTTAGAGAGGACCACAGAGACTGAATATCAGTTAATGACTATCTGGGCAACTATAGTATATATAAAAAAACCACTGGGGATTATTTGATTTATGCATACGCACTGCATTCAGAAAGACACAAATCTGTATGGAAGAACTTTTTAAATCTAAAACACACTAGCATTTTTGCCGCCTGCCTTTATTGACCATAATCTTGACTTAATATAATTGCTTCCTTAGATGATGATGACTTTAGTGGAAGTGGCTTCTATAATGTTACGCCTGAATACCCAGATGGGTAAGTACATTATGGTACAAAGTATTTGCTTTGCAGGAATGTAATTAGCCTTCCAAGTGTTTCATAACATTCTAAAATGAAAATTGCTCTTCCGCTCTGTCCATTGAGGCTTCTGGTAAGGAAGGATAGAAGTTGCTCAATTCAGCTTGCTCTTAATCCACTTTGGACAGATTCCCAAGAAACCCAGTGAGGATGTTTGGATTCAGTGCAGACAACAGACAATGGACAAAGTTCCCAGGAGAGCAGATCATCAACATTTTGAGAGCAGATGTGAATTTGGTGCTCCACATAACGCAAAGAAGATGATTTTTCTGAAGAAAAGAAGGGTTGGATGACAATGGACCACCACAGACACCTAAGGAGAGAATCTTTCCTGGGTCTTAATAATAATAATAATAGTAATAATAGTAATAGTAATAATAGTAATAATAATAATAATAATATTATATTATTATTATTATTATTATTATTATTATTATTATTATTATTCCTTGGTAAGGACTCGATAGGTAGACAAAATGCCCAATCCAGTCTGAACATCTGGCTGACTGTGCAATGATCCATAATAATAATAATAATAATAATAATAATAATAATAATAATAATAATAATAATAATAATAATAATAATAATAATAATAATAATAATAATAATAATAATAAAGTTGGAAGGGACCTTGGAGGTCATCGAGTCCAACCTCCTGCTCAGGCAGGAAACCCTATACCATTTCAGACAAATGGCTGTCCAGTCTCTTCTTAAAAACTTCCAGTGTTGGAGCATTCACAGCTTCTGGAGGCAGGTTGTTCCACTGGTTAATTGTTCTAACTGTCAGGAAGTTTCTCCTTAGTTCTAGGTTGCTTCTCTCCTTGATTAGTTTCCATCCGTTCTTCAAGAAAAAGAAACAAACAACCCTGGCTTTTTTTTTTTAAGAACCTCAGTCTGAATGTCTCTTAAGTGTTTCCTCTGTTCAGGAATGTGTCTGAATAGGGGATGGGTCCAGAGTGAGAAATCTGGAATCTGAATCAAGCAAATTCTTGAACCACACTCATACTTGTTCTTGTGTTCAAGACGCAGATCCATAGTTTCCAGATATTTTTGCTAAAGCCACAGAAGTTAGAAAAAGGTGATACTGGGTTGTTATTCCTATTGTCTTTTATTTAAGCTCCTCACATAATCAGAACATTTCAGCTTTGATGATTGCTTTTGAAGTCCATGGCACCTTCTTGACCTCATGATAACTGTCATGCAGGGTCCACCTTTAAACCCAGAACTTTTTTTTTGTTTACGTGGGGAAAAGATTAGCAACTTCAAGTTCTCCAGAACTTGTGGTTATAATTTTTCTCTAACCTCAGGTTACTAGACATCTGAAAATAGGAGAACATGTCCTACTTTTCTCCTCACTTCCTCCATCTGGTGGGCATAGCCTTAAAAAATTTTGGCCTTTGGAGTAGCTTATTAAGCACCTTTTCTTTGGTGTGTAGCCTGTCTGTAACAAATGCAATTAGCATTGTTTAGAATTAGGAAGCTCTGTTTGATATTGACAAGACCTTTATCAATTACACATTGAAGACTAACTGCTTGTGCTAGCACAATTACTCTCAAAGTACATTTGCTGTTGTGGCCCTGTATTCATACTTGCAATCCCTTCCTCTCCAAAGAATGTAAATATGAATGTTAAATAGTGTGTCCTTCTCCCAGATTTGTCCTCTTTTCCAATTCTTTGTGTTATCCTTAGCCTGGTCAGATACTTAATAACTCTACTCTACCATTAGCCAGAATGGCTAATAATGGAGAACAGTGGGAGTTCTACTAAAATTCATCTTGAGGACTTTTGGGTGAAAAGAAAAGACCAGTATTGAGTGTAGCAGTTGACCAAACTCTTGAGAAACAATGATTATAGGACTGTGGTTATCATCAGCTAGTAAACAAGCAGACACGTGTTGATATGTAGGGAAAAAGTGTGGGTATCTACATGTGTGTTTTTCTGTCTGCATATTAAAACAGAAATACATGAACATGCAGACAGAACAAGAAGCAGATGTACATGCAGACAGAACAAGAAGCAGATGTACATGCAGACAGAACAAGAAACAATGGATGGAACAGAGAAGAGCAACAAAGATGATTAGGGGACTGGAGGCTAAAACATATAAGGAACGGTTGCTGGAATTGGGTATGTCTAGTTTAACGAACAGAAGGATGAGGGGGGACAGGATAGCAGTGTTCCAATATCTCAGGGGCTGCCACAAAGAAGAGGGAGTCAAGCTATTCTCCAAGACGCCTGAAGGCAGGACTAGAAGCAACGGGTGGAAACTGATCAAGGAGAGAAGCAACTTAGAACTAAGGAGAAACTTCCTGACAGTCAGAACAATTAACCAATGGAACAACCTGCCTCCAGAAGTGGTGAATGCTCCAACACTGGAAGTTTTTAAGAAGAGACTGGACAGCCGTTTGTCTGAAATGGTGTAGGGTTCCTGCCTGGGCAGGGGGTTGGACTCGATGACCTCCAAGGTCCCTTCCAACTTTATTATTATTATTATTATTATTATTATTATTATTATTATTATTATTATTATTATTATTATTATTATTATTATTATTATTATTATTATTATTATTATTATTATTATTATTATTAACCTAATCAAGGAGAGAAGCAACCTGGAGAAATTTCCTGACAGTGAGAACAATTAATCAGTGGAACAGCTTCCCTCCAGAAGTTGTAGGTGCTCCAACACTGGAAGTTTTTAAGAAGAGAGTGGACAGCCACTTGTCTCAAATGGTACTGGGTCTCTTGCTTGAGCAAGGGGTTGGATTAGAAGACCTTCAAGGTCCCTTTCAGCTCTATTCTGATTGATTGATTGATTGATTGATTGATTGATCTCTTTTTGTTATCAGGATATATAAGGAGGATGAACTTACGTGAAATATTGTTAAAACGTCTACGAATGATCCTGAAATGGTCAATTTTTAAAATTGTAGAAATTGCTTCAAATATTTCTAAAATATCAGAAATTTTCTCTTCTTCATGTGATCAATTGTTTGATAATTTAACACAAAACCTATTGAATGGTTTGAATATTTGGACACTTCATGGATTCTTGAGACAAGGGCTGATTCTCTTTTTGTCTCTTTCTGTTAACAGGTGTGATAGCTGGACAGAATCTTTTAGAACTACTTCTACTCTTGGTTATTTAACACGATTTATCAATGGCTTCATTCTCATTATCTGTATTTTGGGACTGGTGGGAAATGGAAGGACAATTTATCTCCTGGCCTATTCTATTAGGAGGAATTCTTTCACTACTTTCATCCTGAACCTCTCCATTGCTGATTTTGGGGTCCTCACATCTCTTATGACCGTGGCTATATTTGTGGCTATTTTAACTCTGCATGAAAAAACTATCTTCCTAACTTTCTTCTTATTTCTTGAGCTCTTTTTCTTCACCTATTCTGCCAGCCAGTTTCTGCTGATGGCCATCAGCCTGGAGAGGTGTGTGGCTGTCCTCTTCCCTCTCTGGCATCGCCGCCATCATCGTCCATATCTGCCCAGCCTTGTTTGTGGCCTCATCTGGATCCTCTCTTTCCTCCTCTCTGCAGTGCACTTCATTCTCCACCTGACCAGAAGCTCTGGAAGTTCACCTTTGCTCTACCAGCTTATTGTGAATGGTTTACTTTGTACGCCTATCATGGTTGTGTCCACTGTGACTCTCTGGATTCATAGGAGGTCTAAATCACAACGCAATCAAAGGAAGTTGCTCACTGCCTTATTGCTGGCTCTCCTTTGCTTCCTCCTTTTTTCTCTCCCAATGAATGTCTTTTATGTGGCTGAATATTTTGGTTCCTGTCATCCCATCCTCCTGACCATTGGGATGGGATGTGCCTCCCTCAAGAGCAGCATCAACCCACTCCTTTATTTCCTAGTTGGGAGGAGGAATAGGGGAAAGGATCAGCCCAGAACATCCTTCAAGGTTGCTCTGCAAAGAGTTTTCCAGGACGAACAGGGCAGCCCAGCAGAGCAGCAAACCATGAAGGAAGACCAGTTGTGAAGAATCACTATCACGGTTGATTCATTTTAAAAGTCATAAATAATGTATCCTTTCAGCAAGAACATACGAAGTTAATGTAACTCGTGAAACAAAATAGCAACATTTGGAAACATTGCTGTATATGTAGCTTCTAGATGTGAAGAAGACTCAACTGTATCAAATATTCTTAAATTAGATATGTCCATTATATTTCTTAGTAATAGTAATGATTACTACTGTATTGGGTTGGAATCACTGGCTAGAGTAGAGGGAGGAATAAAGAGGGGTTCTAGCTTGGAGTCTTTCCACTGGAGGAAGCAAGAGAAACCAGACCCTTGAAGCCTTTATATTCCTGTTCCCCAGAGAATGCAGTCAAACTAGCAAGGTTCTTAATCTGCGATAAAGAAACTACTTTGGCCTACTTATGTAGTTGTTCTTGTTCCTTATTCCAGACACGTGTGAAACTTTAAATACATCTAATATTTATGGTGAGAACTATTTGTCTTCATTACATTTTTCAACCCATTGTTCCCAAATTTCATACTTTAAAAGATGTGCTCAGTATAATCAAAATTGGATTTTTGTTTTCCAACTTAAAATGTTCATACAATTAATAGAAAGTTGGACAGTTTGCAAATTGAAGATGTTCTAAGCTTTGGCGTATATATCTATCTTTTTAGGCATGCTTATTAGATCCTATAAAAAGGTGTTGAGACTCTAGAAAAAGTTTAGAGAAGAGGAACAGAGATGATTAGGGGACTGGAGGCTAAAATATATAAATAATGGTTGCTGGAATTGGGTATGTCTAGTTTAATGAAGAGAAGGACAAGGGGTGACATGATAGCAGTCTTCCAATATCTCAGGGGCTGCCACAAAGAAGAGGGAGTCAAGCTATTCTCCAAAGCACCTAAAGGCAGGACAAGAAGCAACGGGTGGAAACTGATCAAAGAGAGAAGCAACCTAGAACTAAGGAGAAACTTCCTGACAGTTAGAACAATCAGCCAAAGGAATAACTTGCCTTCAGAAGTTGTGGGAGCTTCATCACTGGAAGCTTTCAAGAAGAGACTGGACTACCATTTGTCAGAAATAGTGTAGGGTCTCCTGCTTGGGCAGGGAGTTGGATTAGATGGTCTACAAAGCCCCTTCCAACGCTGTTATTCTATTCATATATTTGGTGATGGATAAAGTATAGGTAATGTCTCCTTCAAGACAGTCTTTACTCTCAAGATCAGATGGCTAATCCTCAGGAAGGAACAGTCCCAGCCCTTTAATGTGTTTATTCCTTGGTGGAGGCAAACAAATAAATAATCCTGGAAGGGATTTTCAAGGATTGGCTAAGCAAGTGGTCCTCAACCTTTCTGGCTTCGTGGACCTGTGGCTGCAGCAGTGGCAGGTGGGGAGGGGGAGGAGCTGGTCCCTGCAAGCAGCAGGTGTTGCTGGAATTGGGTTTGTCTAGTTTAACAAAGAGAAGGACGAGGGGGGACATGATAGCAGTGTTCCAATATCTCAGGGGCTGCCACAAAGAAGAGGGAGTCAAGCTATTCTCCAAGGCTCCTGAAGGCAGGACAAGAAGCAACGGATGGAAACTAATCAAGGAGAGAAGCAACCTGGAACTAAGGAGAAACTTCCTGACAGTTAGAACAATTAACCAGTAGAACAACCTGCCTCCAGAAGCGGTGAATGCACCAACACTGGAAGTTTTTAAGAAGAAACTGGAGATAGATGGAAGGCTGAGTCAATCTCGAGCCGGTGAGAATCAAACTGTTGGCAGTCGGCAGAATTAGCCTGGATTACTGCACTATAACCACTGCACCACCACCTCTCTAAAAATAATAATGCAAACTAAGAAAGGAGAAAAACATATATTTTGTGCTTGTAAATATTGACTGGTTCACCAATGAAATCTCTAACATAAACCATACAAGATATTACAGTCCTTGACGTAGGACCATATTTGCAGTTGTTAAATGATCGTTCAAGTCATTAAATGGAGGGAGTCCCTGGTAAGTGTCCTTCACCCACCCATCTCACTTCCATCCAGGGCTTTTTTTGTCATAGAATGCCCAGAACGGAGTTCCGGCACCTTTTTTGGATGGAACCTTGTAGGGTAGGCAAGATGGGATGTATGATGTGTATGAGTTCCGGCACTTTTTTCCCCCTTTTTTACAAAAAAAGCACTGCTTCCATTTATGTTCTTTTGGACACATTGCACAATGACAGTAGCGGGGGCAGCCCCAGGTTCCACTACCACACAGGTGACCTTCAGCACCAAGAGGTCTTTTCAAGATGGCAATCCTTTCCCTCTGTAGGTAGACTTCAGAAAAGAAAATAATAATAATTCATGATGCAGCTGCTGGCATACCTATGAAATGGTCAAGTGCAGGAAATCAAGAACAATACAACAAGCTTCTAAGAATAGTTTCTTTATTGCTGTTTGCCAATAGACAGGAATCTTGCCAGAGTAAAGCACACTCAGCATATCTGTCAGATAAATCCTTTGCAGGCTTTAGAGAGGATCCCTTCTGAGCCTCTTTCTGCATACCAATGACTCAAGGACTGATTTGCCTTTTAGCTCCTTGAGAAAGAGGCCTTCCCTCCTGCAAACATGTCTCCAATTCCATAACACAAATCAAATGAAATATTTATTTTGGTCATAGACCAGCATAGAAAGGGTAGAATGCAAACAAAAGCTTAAAAAAATGAAATACATAAAGTGAAAAAATATTTTGAAAAAACTACTATCTATTTCTATATATCTATATCTATATCTATATCTATATCTATATCTATATCTATATCTATATCTATATCTATATCTATATCTATATCTATATCTATATCTATATCTCTCTATCTCTATATATCTACATCTTTCCCTTTCTCTATATCTACATATATATCTATATCATTTATACCTATCTCTATCAATCTTCTTCTTCTTCTTCTTCTTCTTCTTCTTCTTCTTCTTCTTCTTCTTCTTCTTCTTCTTCTTCTTCTTCTTCTTCTTCTTCTTCTTCTTCTTCTTCTTCTTCTTCTTCTTCTTCTTCTTCTTCTTCTTCTTCTTCTTCTTCTTCTTCTTCTTCTTCTTCTTCTTCTCCTTCTCCTTCTTCTTCTTCTTCTTCTTCTTCTTCTTCTTCTTCTTCTTCTTCTTCTTCTTCTTCTTCTTCTTCTTCTTCTTCTTCTTCTTCTTCTTCTTCTTCTTCTTCTTCTTCTTCTTCTTCTTCTTCTTCTTCTTCTTCTTCTTCTTCTTCTTCTTCTTTATCATCTGTATCATCTATATAGTGGTACCATGGTAGCATCATAATAACATGTAACATAGAAAAATACATATAATCAGTTACACAACTTTAAACTTTCATTCAGTAAGACTTAGTCCTGATAGTAGTTTTATGAAATAAAAAGGAACTATATCAACTAAAACATTTCCAGTAAACAAGTGCTACAGATTGTAAAATACAGACACAGCAATACTTCCTGCTTCCATATCTTTCTTTTTAAGTACTTTGCTCAGTAAATTGTATCCATTCTGTGTATTCTTAAGGAAATCATATTTTATGTCCCAAATAACCCTGTAGCTTCAAATATTATATATGCAATATTTACGACCCTTCACAACTGGTCTTCCTTCACGGTTTGCTGCTCTTCTGGGCTGCCCTTCTCATCCTTGAAGACTCTTTGTAGAGCAACTTTGTATGATGCTCTGGGCTGGTCCTTTCCTTTCTGCTTCCTCCCAACGAAGAAATAAAGGAGGGGGTTGATGCTGCTGTTGAGAGAGGCACATCCTATCCCAATGGTCATCAGGAGGAGATTATAGGTATCAAAATAATCAATGACATAAAAGACATTCATTGGGAAAGAAAAGAGGAGGAAGAAAAGAAGAGCTAGAAAAATGGTGGTGAGCAACTTTCTTTGACTGTGTTGCGATTTAGACCTCATATGAATCCAGAGAGTCACAGTGGACATAGCCATGAGAGGTGTACAAAGTAAACCATTCACAATCAACTGGTATAACAAAGGTGAACTTCCAAAAGTCTTGGTCTGGTGGAGAATGAAGTGCATCGCAGAGAGCAGGAAAGAGAGGATCCAGATGAGGCCACAAACCAGGGTGGACAAATATGGAGGACGATGGCAGCGATGCCAGAGTGGGAAGAGGACAGCCACACACCTGTCCAGGCTGATGGCCGTCAGCAGAAACTGGCTAGCAGAATAGGTGAAGAAAAAGAGCTCAAAAAATAAGAAGAAAAAGGTATCAACCACATATGTTCTTTGATTCAGAGTTAACACGGTCACAAATATTTCTGCCATAATGAGGGATGCGAGGACCCCAAAATCAGCGATGGAGAGATTCAGGATGTAGGTGGTGAAAGAATTTCTCTTAATGGAAAAGGCCAAGAGATAAATGGTCCTTCCATTTCCTACCAGGCCTAAAATGCAAATAAGGACAATGAAGCCATCGATAAGATTTCGTGTTAAATTATCGAACAGTTGATCATAAGGAAAAGAAAGGAATTCTGGTATTGTAGAAATATTTGTAGAAATATTTGGAGCAATTAAGGTCTCCCGACCTATCCTAATAACAAAAAGAGACAGAAAGAGAATCAGTCCTTGTTAGAGAAATAAATACATATATATAGTACATACATACACCCACACAAACACACATACACACACACACACACACACACACAAACACACGTACACAAACATTTTCTTAACTTACACATATCAAGAGATATCTGATTTTTGACCGCCTGATGGTAATTACATCCCTAAAATTAAAGTTTCTTGCAAGATTGGAGAATTGCTACAATCAATTGTGACCCAAGTTTCTATGCAAAATCCTTCAAAGTCTATTTCAGGACAACTGACATCAATTCCGTTTATTGTGGCTGAGCGCAGAGTAGGGTTACCTGTTATTTGAACAGGCAGAAGGGCAACACAAACAATTGGAAAGGAGAAGAAATGTAGGGGGAAGATGCACCAATCATTTAATATTTACATTCTTTAGGATAATGGCCCCC